ACGCTACGAATTAATTCCAACACCTAATATATATATATATATATATATACAGGATGGCTCCAAATTTTGGCCCCACCCATCCTGAACAGGTAGAGCGGATTAAATTGAGTCGAAAAGTCCTCTATCATTTTGCAATTTTCACAATAGTTAACAAGATATTAATTATTAAAAATTGCCGAATATTAGTCTTCAATAATTTTTTACTCAAATACTATTAATTTTACAGAAAAACATGCAGCAAGAGACAAAAATTGTTTATTTTCTTTTTATAGAGCTTTAAGAATTTTTTCAGAATTTTTTATCATTTTTAGTACTGCATTTTCTTATTGACAATTATTTTTACCAACAAGAGAAAATACAGTATTAAAAAAATTCTTAGAACTTTATATATGAGAAAATAAACAATTTTTATCTCTTGCTGTTTTTCTGTAAAGTTGATAGTATTTGAATAAAAAATGATTGAAGATATATTCAGCGATTTTTAGTAATTAATATTTTGTTAACTAATGCAAAAATTGCAAAATGATAGAGGACTTTTCGATTCAGTTTAGTCCGTTCTATCTGTACACGAGTGTTTTGTCAAAACTTACCAGATACCTTGTATATAAAATTTTATTAGAATTTTATTAGAATAAATGCTAATCAAATGTTTGGTTAGTAAAAAATAATGTTACTTTTACAAATATTAAGAGTAAGTATTATCAAATAGTAACAATATTAATACTTATTAAATATTTATAAAAGTAACATTATTTTTGGTTATATTAACCAAATATTCGATTGGCATTATATCACTATACATTTAATAGCTATTACCAAATGCAGACTCCAAGGGATCAACCACTACTAAAAAAAACGTAATTGCTAATATGGTAATACAACACACTTTATTGCTAGCATTACCATTGTATTGTTAGTATTATTTTCCTATATGTATTGCCACCTATTACGCACATATATTGCCAAATATTGTTAATGTATCGCTATGTATTGCTAGCATATTGCTAGCATTGTTAATATTGTACTCTTAGCATCGACTGTTTTATTATTATATTATCGCAATATATTTCTAATGAAATGTACACTAATTGCTATAGTGGTTGACTTGCCGAACTTTTTTTTCAGTATACGATAAAGAATAATAAACATGCTTATAATAAACGACCATGCATATCTATTCGAAAAACTCCTGTGTCTAATAAATCAATAATGGGAATTTGTAAGATTACAGTGGTTCAATACTCGTATTATTTACTTTATAAATATTAATCTGCAGAACAAAATATCTTATTTATATCAATGTAAATTGGGGACTTTATGAAGTTTGGAAAAAAAACATAAGAAATAAAAAACGTATCTGCTTATTTAATATGATAAATTCAGATAAATAATCGAAGTATATACATAAATTTAATTCAAACTTCGCAGTATATTGGAATATCGCGAAGACAGATGTATCTTTTTATAATAATTGATATTATTAATATCAACCGTTGCAGAAATAGGGTCATGCTTACCTACAATGTTATAATACTCATACACATATACAATCCTACTTCTCTCCTAAATTCAAATATACTTATCTCAAAATTAATAACTTCTTAATACAGCATTTTTAAATTCTGAATTGGAACAACGTTTTATTAGGACGGTAAATATGCAATGTCTACAACTTTCACTTTCTTTCTGAGTTATTATTTTCAATTATAATGTATTCTTTAAAATAAACTATCCCTGGTGAAAATTTTTCTCAGAATTTTTCAGAATTTTTATATAATTTTTTAACTTTCTCACATTTTTTATACGAATTGAAACACTTCTCAGAAAATTTTCATCTTTTCTCAGAAAATTTTTTTTCAAAATTTTTCATATATATTAATTAAAAGATTTCTAAGATTTTTTGTAAGTATAATTTCTGATGAAATGTTATAAAACCTAAAAAATTAAAAAATATTTTTTAAAAATTATAGGATAAGAAATCTCAGAATAGTTCAGAATTCACATGTATGAAAAATTCTGAGAGAAATTGTAAATTTTCCGAATATTTCTGAAATATTCCAATTTCGTATAAAAATTATAAGAAAAATTTTCACCAGGGATGTTATGAATTTTCAAGATTTGAATATTGTAATTCTAGTATATATAAATAGTAAATTTTATCCTATGTCAGAGTTGTGATATTTTTCCATATAAGCAAGTAAGCTACAAATAAGTTGTTTCTTCACGAAAAATATATTAGTCTTCAAGATAAATTTCATTATCTAAAAAATGCAAATTTTTTACTTGTTTCATTTCTATCAACGTAACGATACCTTTAATTGTTACAATTTTTCAAGAATAATAAATATGTTAGAAATAAACTGTGATTATAAAAATTAAGCAGGTCGATGATTGTTTGTGGTACAGAACAAGAAAATAATTCTTTGTTTTAACTGTAATTTTTATTTGTCGTTTGGTAATTATTGTATGACTGTCATTATTATATACTCTAATAGCACAGATTTCCAAGGGCTGTTCCAAAGAATATTCAAAGGATATCCGCATGTCCTAAGAACGTTCGCCAGAACGTCCCTCGAATAAAGTGTGCGATTAGAATAGATTGTAAATAATTATTATTATTACTACTATGATGCCTGTTATTCTTGATAATTGAAATTCAAGGATCCTTCTTTAGACCAGCATCGTTCAGAAGTTTTGCAACAACGATTTCACTAGGCAATACATACCCACCGCAGGCATCGATTTCTTTCTTAAGAACATCAGCATCGGCAGCTATAAAAATGTCAATCTACATTTATGGGACGTTGGCGGACTCGCTCTGCATGGCAACATGTTGGATAAATACGTTTTTGGAGCACACGTAAGACTGATTTGCTGCTATCTTTACTTTACTAAATAAAATATAAAAATTTTATTTCGTTATTTAATTTTATTGAATTAATTTTATTTGAATTATTTTTATTAATTTAATTTTGACATGTCCAAGAGCGACAATTTATCTCGCCTGTGGGAATAGATTATTTACTAACAAAAAGAGAGAAGAAGGAGAGTACAAAATGACGGTTTTTTTTACTTTTTATTTATTTTGTGCTTCTTGCCATCCCCTTTTTTACAATTGCGAATTGCTCTGTCTAACGGTCAATAAGGGATTTATATTGACCGTAATCTGTAATTGACTAATCACAACCGAGTATTCTCCTCTCACTCAATTGTAAAAGAGGAATGCTCGACTGTGGTTAGTCAATTCTTATTACAGCATACAGCACACAATTACGGCCCTAATAGCGAATTCGATTGGACGCTCAATCGCACTGGTGCACTTTAAAGCCGTCGTACATAAAATAATATAAAGATATGTTTACATAAACATAGAAATCTTGATTAAATCCTGAAATACTCAATACATTTTATTGTACTTAGGTTAGGTAAAATATGTATTTTATGATTCGAAATATTTGTATTTCACTTTTAAATTCAAATTAAAGTGTACAACGGCTTTAAATCTTTGCTATACGCGCAATTATACTGTCATCACGAATATTGATCGGCATCCGCGCACAACATTTACAAAATTCACAGTTGATTTTTAATTTAATCCTTGGATTTTTTGAGTTTTAAGGGATTTTCACAATAAGCTAAATTTTGAATATATGATAATGTTTCATATAATTCCATTTTTATCGTTCATGGACATGTCTCTTTTGTGCGCTACGATTGTATGTTGCAAACTGGATATATATTTCTGAATCAGATCATTCTTTTGGTGTACGACGTAACGAATAGCTCAAGTTTTGACATTTTGGAAGAGTGGCTCAGCAAAATCAAAAGTTTCATTGAAGCCTACGATGAAATACCTCTAATAGCGGTAATAGGTAATAAATGTGACATGGAACATCAAAGAACAGTTAAGAGAGACAGGTCGCATCGATTCGCCGCAGAAAACGGATTTCCTTATCATGATATGTCTGCGAGAACTGGAGAATCGGTAATTTAAAAAATGTGTGTGTGTGTGTGTGTGTGTGTGTGTGTGTGTGTGTGTGTGTGTGTGTGTATACAGTGAGATCTAAAAGTCTCCGAATGGCTAATTATCTCAGAAAGTATTGGTTTATTGGAAAAATGTTTCAGCTAAAGTTGTAGGGTTTAAAAAGATCTATTTATATATTAATCTTGTCAGTTTGATCTTAGATGACGTCGCCAATATCAGGTCATATCGATTTTTTAAAATAAAATGCCCTATTTTATTCCAGAATCTAATGGCTGATATCAAGACACATAATAAAACACATAATAAAGTTCAAAATAGCTTTTCAGAATACATAATAAAGTTCATTTTCATTAAGTATACTTTTGAATTATAATGCTTGAAAATTACAGTACCGCTGACATTAGTATCACCCAAGGTGTCTAATCGACGGCTAAAATCTCTTTAATGTTGTTCAGGATCTGGATGACCTGGGTAACATTTGTCAAGATCAAGATCATTGGAGATTGTTCCTTTTATTTTCATTTTTACGTAAAAATGAATTTTTAATGCAAAAATGAAAATAAGAAGACCTTCAATAGCCTTTATTTTAACAAATGTTGTCCTGAACAAAATTTAAGAGGTTTAAGTCGTCGCACAGTGATTGAATTTGCGAATCTAGCGGAACAAAACTATTCAACAACAAAAAATATTATATTTGTAATTTATATAACATTTTTTACATAAAAAAGCTATGAATAAACAAAAGGAAACATTGAAAAACGAATACTTATTACGTTAAACATTTGTAAATAACTAATCAGAGAGACAGAAGTATCAGAATGACTGTATCCCTCAAAAAATGACTGTTATATTAAGAATCTTAATTAAATTTAAAACTCTTTTATTTACATGGAATTCTCTTCTTGCAAAAAATGGTACATTTTTTAGATTTGTAAAAATATGCATATTAAATTATTGTCAATAAAATTTATACGATTAATTTTATAAAATAAAACCATTTCATGATATACAAATGCGTACAAAAATTTCGCCGCTTTCACATACTTAACATTTTAAAGAACAAGTAAAAAAAAATTTACATATGTTTCTATTTTTTAATTAAATTTAATAATTGAACAAAATAAAATAAAGTAAAAAAGTGTGAAATGTGTATATATCTATCTGAAGAATATTTATTATAAAAACAGTTATTTCCAAATTCCAGACTAAGAGAAGATATTCATTTAACGTAAGAGTTCGTAATAAGTTGTGTATTTGATTATTTCTGTACAAGCAATACACTATAAAAGCGCATCTTTGCAATCCAATTTTCTTGTTTTATTCGACCTATTTCGTAATGATTCTAAGAATTTCTTAATTAAGATATCTAGTTTATAAATAATTGTTAAAAATGTTTTAATCTTATCATTCATTTTTTTAGTTTTTAGTTTTGTCCATTTAATTTATTTTTAACCAACTGTGCGCGCGCGCGCATCAGTCGGATACCTTGAGTAATATTCTAATGATGGCGGTACGGTAACTTTCCAATCTTATAACTCAAAAAGTACTTAATTAAAAAAAAATTTATAAAATATCACAGTGTTTTGACAAGTTCCTGAGGTAAGCTACGAGAATATATAATGAAAAATGGAGAGTTTCCATTTAAAAAATTCAAAATGACCTTAGCTCTGACATTAGTGACGCTCAAAGTCAAACTGATAAGATTAATTATAGATCTTTTTAAACCCTACAACTTTGTCTGAACATTTTTCCAATAAACCCTACATTCTGAGATAATTACCCTTTTGGACCTCACTATGTATGTATATACACTGTATATGTGTATACATATATGTATATGTATACAATGAGTATTAATTTTATATTTCTATAATGATTAATATACATCAGAAAAAATGTAGTGAGTGCAAAAAATATTCGTACAGAAGAAATTTTTATCAAAACTTTTTTGTAAAAAATAAATATTAATTAGCAGTTAATTTTTGTAAATAGAATAGATTTGTTTTTAATTCCTGTGTATAATACTGGACTGTATTAGAACTTTCTTTTCCACTTTTGTCAAATATTAAACATACCTATTTCATTTTAAGTTCCAAAAACGGATATATTGATTTAGTCACAGAAAACAGATCTAGTGTACACGTTTTGTCCTCATACATATAAATAAAAGAACTTTCGTGTTTCTGATCTTAAAAACTAAAACTGATATTCATAGTTGGTTCTTATATTTGTAAGATCGTCTTAAGTACAATCTTAAGACATCAAGATCAATCCAAGAGTACCGTATTAGCATCTTAAGATATTACTTTAAGACAATCTTGAAATAAGAACAGACTATGAATACGTTTTAAACTCGACTGTACTTTTTGTGGTTTTGAATAATATACTTTTTCATTTTAGAATATATTTATAATATATTTTAATTACTATTTTATACATCTTTTAAGAGATAAAATAAATAAATTTAAGAAATACATAATCTATTTTATTCTTTATTAATAAATTGCTAATTAATGTCTATTTTTACAAATAAGATTTTTTAAATGATTTTCCTTGTATAATTTTTTTTTTATTAATATGTTATTAATATCAATGTGGGCTTGTATTGTACTTTCAGGTATCTTTATGCCTAGCAGGTTTGGCAGCTCAAGTTTTAGGTGTTCGATTAACAAGAACGGATCAAGATTTTCATAAGCCCATTATCATCGCTGAAATTGGTGACACAGTAGATGTAAATTCAATACACAAAGTCGTAAAAAGATTTCCTACTAAAAAACAATTTCCAATTGCGTTCCATCCCCATTTTCCCACCTCAAAATCTACGGTGTGTGTATTGCAATGATAATGATCAGACATTTTTGAATAATGTTATATAAATTTTATTTATTTGAGTATGTGTTCATAACAACAAACAAAATACATAATGTCAAGAATGTATTTTTTACGATTGTGTGAATGTATCAAATTTGTATATTAAATAATACATTGTATAGCAGAAAATATGAAAATTATATTTATGTAATACGAGCGTATGATGGGCAACGAATGAGTCTATCATGTTTAAGAGCTTGTGTTTAATTCCCGGCAAAAATTTTCCTAACTCCTCTTCAGTGGTCTTTCAAACCAAGAGTATCTATTATCAAGAAAATCTCTCAAACTGCCGTTCGGGACCGACGTTAAATTGTAGGTTCCGTAAACCTGTGTATCTCGTACCTGCGTGCGGGCATAGGTACGAGATGTAGCCCTACTGAAAAGAATCATGTCACAAAGTTATGTAACAAAATCATGTAATTAAGATAAATAAATGACATAACAGATTGTTTCAAATTAGTACGTGATTTTTTAAATCACGTGATTTGAAAAATCACATGATAGAAATAATTTCATTCATTCTATGATTTTATAGTTATCAAATATTAAAGAATTGAATAATAGAAATATAAAAAAAAGAATATATCATCATTTGACTTTTCAAATTATGTAATTTTAAAAAATCACATACTGATTTGAAATAATCGGATATGTAATTTATTTGTTTTAATTAGATAATTTCATTATATAACGTGATTTTTTTCAGTAGAGAGGCCCCATCTCGACTTTAGGATGTTCCGCCATCGAATGAGTGAATGAATATTTATATATTAGGTGTTGGAATTAATTCGTAGCGTTTTACAAGTGATGGGAAGTACTTTCATTAATGTATTTTTTAATGCTCATGTGAAATAAATAACATTCTTTCATTAAAAAACGCTACGAATTAATTCCAACACCTAATAGTGTGGGGCCAACAGATAAACATCATCACAGAATTTGTCTACTATAGATTGAAAACAGATTTTATTAATCACATCTCATTAGTTGTAATAATAGTTACACGCGCAATATATTATTTATATATCAACATTAAAAATACCTTTATAATAATAAGAATTAGAAAATAATAATAACAAAGCATATAAAATAATATAAATATATATTATATATATATAAATAGTAATAACCCATATAACACAGACAAGGGACTGAAGAACATTCTAAGAACGTTCTGAGAATGTTCACAGGAACATCTCTGGATGTGCTATATGAGAATTCACAAAAGAATTCAAAATTACTAGGAAGACTTCTTAAATTAATTATTCTTATTTATTACAAATTTCATTCGTCGAAGTTGTCAGACACAGCGTAACAAAGATTCAATATAAAAAAGTTCGATATAACAATAATAAAAATTTCAGATAAAGAAAGAAGTGTCTTCTCTTTTCTAAATAAAAGAATATTTCATTTTTTTTTAATATCAAAAGAATGATTTCTAAGGTACTTCGTATTATCTCTTATAATTACAAATAATGCTTACTAGTAGCATTTATAGTTTTTTATAGTGTCATATAACGTATGTAGATATTTTTTAATTGAAAACTCTTCTCATTTGCCATTTATAAAAAGCCTTCAATCACATGTACAATAATCTTTTATCTTTAAAAAGTTTATCTAATTGGGGCATACCATATTGCAATCATCTGTCTATATGGCACGAATTTCTGCTCTTATTAAAACCGCAGATGCTACGTTAATACGCATAAATCAATATATATTACATAATTTAAATTGTCAACATCTTTTTGTTAAACATTTCAGTAAAATGTGACTCTTAGCGATTTTAGTTTGACATTTTGCTAGTGCGCATTGATGCACATTAAATCCATCATACACAAATTGACGTAAAGATTAATATATGTTTAATATGAATATAGAAACGGATAAATATTAAAACCGCGACATTCTCAATACTGAATTATTTTGTTTCTAAAAAAATTGTTTATTGTGTTTACAATGAACAATATACAATTCTTAATTATAAATGATTGTTAGATAAATTTTTTTTCTTTTATAATTTACATTTTATTTTACACCTAAATTAAATCAGTGTTCAGCGACTTTAATATGCATCAGTGCATTAGTAGTGTCTAACCGAATTCTATTTGTTGTTAATAGATAATTCATTTATAATCAGAAGACAAATAGAGGGCATTCTGTGCATACATGATTGAGAAAAGACTAACTTTATATAATTCATATATAAGAGCGCGCATGTATGTATACACACATACACACGCACGCGCATGCGCACACGCACACAAAATATAAATATGTATGTGTGTGTGTGTGTGTGTGTGTGTGTGTGTGTGTGTGTGTGTG